TCCTTCCTTCCTTCCTTCCTTCCTTCCTTCCTTCCTTCCTTCCTTCCTCCCTCCCTCCCTCCCTTCTCTCTCTCCCTCTCTCCCTGTTTCTCATCTCCCTTTCCTTCCCCTTCCCCTTCCTTCCTTCCTTCCTTCCTTCCTTCCTTCCTTCCTCCCTCCCTTCTCTCTCTCCCTCTCTCCCTGTTTCTCATCTCCCTTTCCTTCCCCTTCCTTCCTTCCTTCCTTCCTTCCTTCCTTCCTTCCTTCCTTCCTGACTCATAGCACGTTACAACCAACCATTGAAACAATCACGATACAACATAAATATATAAAACATAAATTGCCCATGGTAAGGTCTCTCACACACACACGCATGCAGACACAATCCTACAATGACAACTTTGAACAGCAACACGACAAGCAAGAGTCAGCAATATCAGGGTCACAATTAATCAGCCAGTTGTCATCCCTGTACCAGTCTCCTTGTGTGATCCCCACCAGAAAGACAACATAAGCTGTCAGAGGCCCTCAAGAACAGTTCGGGGTTTGGTGCTCCATCTGGGGAGTGAGGCTCGTGTGTCCCAAGAAGATAAATGATCTCCTTCAAACTTAGCCCTTTTCTCTCGTGGAAATGTGGGGTCTCCCAGAGATCCTCTAGCATGCATTAAGGTTTGAGATCCAGCAGCTTGCTGGTGACCTTGCTGCTACCTTTGGCGAACCATTTGGCGATACCTGTTTTCCACAAAGAACATTTCTTAGAGTGCTTGGTGCAAACTGACATTGTGCTCAGCAGTTGATGAGTTGATTCTTGACCTGTTTTGACTTGTGCAACTCCGAGAGAAGCCAGAAAAAATATTTCCCCAATCCGTCGGTGTAGGCACTCCACCCACAGATGCTTGGCTGACGTCAGTGGGAGTCTGCCATGGATGCAGGGAAGCAGGATCAAGCCTTTGGCTGAGAGGTGTGTTGAGTTGTTGGTTTTCAAATGTTCTTGTGTGTGTTAATGCGCACACTGGCCTGGAAATACCTGTTCAGAGGTAATCGCGGTGCCTAGGTCAGCATATCTCAACCTTGGCCACTTTAAGATAGGTGAACTTCAACT